CCCGCCTCCCCCCGCGGCGCTGCGGTGGCCCGGGCAGGCTCCTCGCCATCGGCCGCCGGGGCCCGGCGTCGCGGAGGGGACGGGGGGCAGCGAGGGCCCGCGGGGAGTGCCGGCCCAGCCCCCGCACGACACTTGTCACCCGCCGGGACGGCGGCCACCCCCGTCCTTCCCACCGGGCCGCACCCCCCCATCCCCGCGGCGGAGCCGGCCCCGGTCCCCGGCGGCGGCGGGGAGAGCCCTGCGGGCCGGGAGGTTGTGTAATGCCGGGGGGGAAGCCGCTCCCCGCGGGCTGGAGTGGAATTTCGGCTGGAAAGGCGAGGGGAGCGGTCAGGCTGCCAAACCGGCCGCATGCAGCCGACTGCCTCTTTTTTCTCTTTTTTATTTTTTTTTTTTCCCCTTTCCCGTTTTTCCACGGAAAGACCCCAGATTCCCCAGGGAGAGCTGCCAGGCTGAAGCCCGGCCGGCGCCGCGCTCGCTGGAGTGAGAACACGCGGTGCCCGCAGGGGAAGGGGCTCGGGGTGCGGGGCGATGCTGGCCACCGGCAGCCTGATCCCGGCGGGGGATGGCCCGGGCTGGGGGCCCCGGTGCTGCTGCCGGGCAGGAGGAAGGTGCAGGTGGCCGGTCTGCTCCTCTCCTGGCAGGGTGGGTGTTCAAGAGCAGGGCAGAGACAGAAGCAGAAGTGGAGGCAGATGGGATGTGACCAGCTGCTATAACTACTGAATCAGTAGAAGCTTCTATCTAGCAGCAAGGACAGGATGGAGAACTAATATCGCGCTTGCACTTGGGTTGCCTTTGCCTTCTTCCCCTGAAAGGGCTCAGGTTATATGAATTTTGCATGTTTCTGATAATTGGTGCACCAAAACTTAGTTGATTGGCAAATGTATTAAGTTGGCTGTGCTGAGCCGTTCCTGCTGTCGGTTACAGGTGAGTGGTGGAGCGCAGAGAAGATCTGTTGAAGTCTAACCTTCACTGTTTCTGTGTAGGAGGGTGAGGACTGTCCTGTGCTATACACCTAGGACTGCCGTTGCTTACCATGTGTGAGTGCCATCCTGGATGGAAAGCTGCTCAGGCACAATGGATACAGAGGAGGTCACATTTAAATAGTAATACAGTTTATTAGGAGTTTTTCACCCTCGTGGAAGCTGGCACCCCAGCCACACAAGGTGCCCTGATTGCTGTAGGTCACCTTCCTTCCACAGACCTCTCACATGTGTGACTTGAAGGAGAATGTCTGTGTGGACTTGAATGATTTATTTTTGAGTTGAGGAGAAAAAAGGGTCTTTTTCATGCACACTGTGACATGCTTTTCTTTTGGGGAAAGCCTGTGGTGTCTCTGAACAGCAGGCTGTTCCAGTAATCCCGCTTCAGCCAGCAGTGCCAGGCACAGTGGAGGAGACTTTACCCCTTTGAGCTCTCAGCTGCTTGTTCCTCAATGGCTTTTTATTGCACTATTGTTTCATTTACTCTGGGCTCCTCTCTGTGTTGATAGGCATGTAATGGCTACAGCAGAAATGTGTGGCTGACTGGGTGAAAATGACCTGGGGATAGAGTTTCTGAGCTGAACTGCCTTTGGGCAAATTAAAACCTTTTTTGTTTTGTGGGGTTTTTTTTTTTTTAGGTTTGGGGCTTTGGGGTTTTTTTGCAGGGAGAGAGGGGTGTGTTTTTTTTTTTTTTTTTTTTGGGTTTTTTTTTTTTTTTTTTTTTTTTTTTTGGGTTTTTTTTTTTTTTTTGGTTTTTTTTTTTTTTTTTTTTTCAAGCTTAGTTCAGATGCTGTGCCCTAAGGGACAAAATGTGCTGATGGCAATTACAGAATAGCCAGGTGCCAAACAGAGTTGAGTCTCAGCTTAATTTGTGCGGCTCCTCTCAGGGTGAGCTGCCTCTCAGCACTCCCTGTGCTGTGAAATCAAGCTCGCTTCCACAGCTATGTCAACAGACCTCTCTGATACACAGGTGACAGCTCTTCCTCTCCAGTTACCTTCTTGGCTATTAAAGGACTTTCTTCCTCTGCAGGCTTTCCTCTTAATAGGAGCTGACTTCTGTGGAGTCCTTGGTTCGCTGTAATCTGTGGCTGGCCAGAAAGATCTGTGTGGGAGGACGGGTCAAACTTTTCACCCTCTTTATTTCTGGTGATTAGAGTCTGCAGCCTTTGCGCCCGGGTTTGAGCGGTAAAGAGAAGCAGGAGGTTGAGTAGCTGCGTGTGAAACAGGAGACTAAGAACTGGTATTAATTTCCTCTCGCTCGTTTGCATTGGCTCCATCTTTGGCAACGTGCACCGGGTTCGTAGTTCTTGCTTTGTCTTGGCCAATGCAGTGTCTGTTCCCATGGAAATGGGGGTGGAAGTGGCAAGTGTCAGCAGAGAACTTCGTCTGGGTCAGCTTCTCCTGACTGGAGTGCCACTGGGCAGGTGGTGTCCAGAGTCTTCTCTCCTGCCCCTGCTTTGCTGGGGAATTACTTGATTCTGAGGTCCCGAGGCACACATCAGTTTGCACTTGTACAGTAACCCTGACATAATAAAATGTTGAGTCAGGTTAAGATCTTTTGAGGGCTGTGCTAGAGGTGGCCAAACAATGACTGACAAGAGGCAAACTTTAAGATTTGTTATTTTCTCAGGTATTGTCCCATTTGGGAATCTTGTTTGGGCCCTTCTCAGGGGGTTGTTCAAATGCCTTCAGGCAGTGCCCGTTTCAGGTGGGTGTCTGTGAGAACAGCAGCTGATGGAGCTCTTGAAACCCTCTTCTTGCTTCCTTCTTCCTGCCTTCAGGCTGGCAGCTATTGCGTGGTTGTGGTGAGAAGAAAGGGTTTTGTAAGATGGTTTAATGCTTTTCACCCTTCTGCCATTCCCCAGGTTTTCACTTGAGGAGGGTGAGTCTCTAAAACCTGATGCCATCAACTGCTAACTTCAAATCCGTTGAATGACTGAGTCGAGTCAGTCCTGCGCTGACAGCTTTGGTTTTGTGCTCAGAGTTTGCAATTTGAAAGCCTTATAAAAATATTCTAGGTGTTTTTCCTCTTTGAAGCAGGAGTCAATGGCCAAGTCCTTTGGCTCTGTGCCCTGTTTGTGAAACAGACTCTTCTTTCTGAAACGGCACGAGGGAGTTTGCTGTGTCTTTGACTGCAGCTGGGCCAGACCTGTTTTTCTAGAGGACCCAGGTTCTGGGGCTTTGGCTACCTCTGCTTCTGCTCCAGTGGTGCCGCCTCCTGGTCAGAGCAAGGAGGGGAGACAGGTCTGACAGGGAGTAAGTGCTAAGGCCACTTGGGGAGTTAAACACTTCAAGAGTATATTAAGTGTCTCAGAAATTAACCCTCCTTCTCACTCTTTTGTGCTTGAAATCCAGCTTCTGACTATGGTATGAAGTTGCCAATCTTGCGGTCCAATGCAGAAGATCAGATTCTGTACCAGACCGAGCGTTACAACGAGGAAACCTTTGGCTATGAAGTTCCCATTAAAGAGGAAGGTGACTACGTGCTGGTGTTGAAGTTTGCAGAGGTCTATTTTGCACAGTCTCAACAGAAGGTAAGCAACAGCTCCTTGCTTGTGTCTTTGATGCGAGTTCCTGGCTAAGACTGTGCGTGTCAAAGTTGCCTCTGCTGCTTTGCGTGCTGTGGAGAGAGGAGTGAAGTAAGGCACTAGTGGTTAATTTAATTACTAGAGCTCTCATGGGCTCTGAAACTTCAAGCTCTCTTCCACATTCCAGATACACAGTTGGCCTGGAAAACTGCATTACAAAGTATTTAAACGCATATATGCAACTAAACATAACTAGGGCTAGAGTTTTATGATGTTTGGACTGTGCTGGCTCTGAGAAAAAGTATTTTTGCCTTTTTCCTGAACACTTGTTCCTGACCTGACATCATGCTCGTGCCGAAGGAAGTATTGCACAGATTGAATCAGGGAACTGATCTGGGTTAAATAACCTATTCATAACAATTTTTACAAATGTAGTAAGATCTGGTTAGTTCTGGTTCAAACCAATCCCGAAAGCACAGAGATAAATTGAACCCTCTTTATTGCTTATTTAGAAAAGAATAATCCTTGCCCACTTCTGAAATCCCTCGTGTACAGACACGGAAGCAGAAGCAAAAAGAACTCAAAGGCCCGTGATAAGCTGGGAGAGAGGTGGTGTATGTTTTAGTCCAGCTTTCCCCTGGCTCTGTCAGCTTTTTTAGAGTCCTGCTTCTTACGCTCGGTGCTGCTTTCCTGCCAGAGGAGTATTTCAGGGAACAGAACTGGTGGGGCTGGCTTACAGAATGGATGCAAAAAACAACCTCAGATTAAACTGAAGGGCTGAGGCATCATTGGTTCCTCTTCCTTTATGTGGTTCTGCTGGGATTCCCCAGGTGCAGAGTGAAGTTTGAGTCATTACAGCCCTGAGGAGGACTTTCACTCTGAATTCACAGATGTGGTTAGCAGTTCAACATTTTACCTCCTTCAAACCCTGTGTCCTTCACCAGCTTGTTTCCTTTTCTGTGCTCTGCTGCAGGCTGTTTGTTGGAAATGGCTTAATTCCCTAGGGTGTGGTGTGCAGCAGCCACCCCAGGGTGGTAGGAGCAGGTCTTCAGCCAGTAGGTGGAAAGTTGTAGAAGAAAAGGATGAATAAACCAGATGAAAATATGCTGTCCTCAGTTCTGAACAGCAAGGGTAGGGGTTATTTTAGAAGGAGGAGGCAGATTTCAGGGTATTTGAAAGCAATGTTAACGCTTCAGCATCCTTACTTTGTTGCTTTGGGGCTCTGAATCCTCAAGGGAGTGGAACGTGTGGTGGGACAGTGCATGCTGCAATGCTTTCTTGTCCTGGGTGCATAACAAGCAGAGACCTTTCCTGTTCTGTTCCCCTTTCAACCGTCGCATGCCTGAATCTGTTCTGACACCCTGTCATTTCTTCCCCCCTGAAGGTATTTGATGTTCGCTTGAATGGCCATGTGGTGGTGAAGGACTTGGACATTTTTGACAGAGTTGGACACAGCACAGCTCATGATGAGATCATTCCCATGAGTATCAAAAAGGGGAAGCTGAGTGTCCAGGGAGAGGTTTCCACGTTCACGGGGAAGCTCCACATTGAGTTTGTAAAGGTAATAAGCTTTGCTGGGCAGAGCCCTGGTCTTTCTTTTCCCCTGCTTTCCCCAGCCATGTGATGCAGCTGGGTGCTGGGGCAGGAGAGGTGATGGTAGCGGGGGTGGGGGGAGAATATTTCTTGCCTCAAAGCTGCAGCACTGACTTACTCCTTTGATTTCTCTAGGGCTACTATGACAATCCGAAAATATGTGCCCTATACATCCTGCAAGGAACAGTGGAAGGTAAGCACGGTTTTTGAGCCAGAAGGCTCTTCCTCTTTGGAGAGCAGCCTGTTGCTTCTCAGACCATGAGATCATAGCTCTTGCTCACCCACCTCTGCCAAAACTGTTTCTCCCTCAGCCAGTTCCCACGCAGTGCAGTTGCAGGGTGAAATCGGTGTGTAGTGTCCTCCTGCTCCTACAAGTGCACAAAGCTGTGTCCTTTTGGAATAAGGAAAACCAGTTTGGTTCAGGACTCCCTGCATATGTGGGTAGAGGAGAAGGGAGCATGTCTGGTCACTCAGCTTATAGCAACAGATGAATTCCCTCTGGCCTTGGATGTCAGCAGCAGCCCTGCAGACAGTAATTTACAGATCTTTCAGCTAGTAGTTAAGTGTTTCTTACCTGGAGCTTTGTTTTGCCTTCTCAGCTCGAGGACAAGGCAGTGTGTTTTCCCCAGCTATCAGTTCCTCTGGCTAGCAGTGGGGAGCACTAGTAAAACCCTTTCTCTTTCCTCACCCTCTTTGTCAGCCTGTGCTGGAGTTGGAGCCCCTCCTGCCTCTGACCAGGGGGGAGGTTTAGGACCCCTCCCTGACCAAAGCATCAGTTTGCTGGGAGGGTGCTCCTGTTTCCTGGGTGCTCTGGTCAGTGTTGGTGTGGTGGCGGGTGCCCCGTTGCCCGTGTTCCTGCTGGGTGGGGGAGAGGGGAAGGGAGTGACTCGAGTGATTTCCCAGATTACATCCTGCCTTCCCTGCAACCTTTTGTCTTGTCCAACAGATGTTCCAAAGCTGCAGCCGCACCCGGGTCTGGAGAAGAAAGAGGAAGATGATGATGAAGATGAATATGATGATGGCTCCAGTGTTAAAAAACAGGCAAATAAGAACCGGGTTCAGTCAGGCCCACGCACACCAAACCCCTATGCCTCGGACAACAGCAGCCTCATGTTTCCTATATTGGTGGCCTTCGGTGTCTTCATTCCTACCCTCTTCTGCCTCTGCCGATTGTGAGAGCAAGCCCCAAAGAGCATCAGCCGAGGGGCTGGGAGGGAAGGAGTTGGACCAAACACGGTTGCTTTCAATTTCTCCATATTGTTCATAATTTAAGAAAAAAAAAAAGATAAAAAAAAAAAGGAAAAGATGATTCATTTGGAATGAATAGCAGGTCCGGGTAAGAGGGAGCTTACCTTCCCCCTGCCAGCAAGCAGCGAGGCCCTCACCTTCCCCTTTGCACCATGTGCAGCCTCCAATCCTCCCTGGGGCATCCAAGAGTAAACTGAGTCCTGGCTTGTCTGTGTGTTGGGCTGTTGGAAGCTGATGCTAGCAGTCCTGGGCCATGTCCCACGCTGAGAGAAAGCCATGTGCTGCAAGATCTCTGCCTTTTGCTGGGTGGAATACGGTTCCTTAAGCAGGAAAGCAGCTCTTAAAACCAGGCCTGGGTACACATTTTGTCCGGGAGCGTGGAAGTGTTGTGGTGCTGTTGGGTGACTAAAGACTATGGAGGATGGAGCCTGGCTCAGCATCTCCCTGAATGTGTGCAACACGATGTATGGTACTCGCCTGCAGAAAGATACCAAGACTCCAGCTCAGCCTCTGTGGAGATGTTCCCCTCCTAAGAGTGCAAGCTGCACCGGGAGCAGAGGGATTTATCTGGCCTGATATGCTGCACCGGTTGGGAGAGACTTTCCTAGTCTGACAATTGTAACGTTAGATCCATTGCAGAGGGATTCTGCTGTAGCCTGCGAGAGGCTGACGTTGTTTGCGTCGATCAGATGCACTTGTTTTCTGTATTGATTATGGCTTTTGTTTTCTTTTATATCCTTTTCTTTTTCCAAGGTCTCATTTTAAGCCCAGTTCCTTGTTTTGCCCTTTCTAGCAAGTGACCTCTCCTTTGGAAGAAGCTGAGAATCAGATGACCTAGAGACGAGGTTGTGGACTTGTTCCTTGATCTTCCTAGCGGTTAGCTCCACTCTTGGTGACTGTGAACAGCCTGTGCCGTAGGACAGAGCAGATGCTCCCTGTGAGCTCCTGTCCCCTGTCCTAGGGACCAGGCCCCCCTGCAGTGGTCAGAAGTGCAGTGGAGTTGGGCGGTGTCTTCAGTCAGCTCGGCCTTTTGCGCATCGAGGCGCTGTGGTGAAGGCGCAGATGTCCAGTGTTTCAGTACTGTAGAGCAAGGTGGTTTGTTGCCCTTCCAGAGATCTGGAAGCGAGGAGAACACTGGAGACAAGGTCACCTGCTTCCCCCAGGGATATTTCTCCAAGAGGCTTCTGTTTCCACACACGGGGCCTGTCCTTGCCTGACAGAGGCCGAGCAGAGCGAAAGCCCTCGCTGTGCCTGCTGATCCAGGGCTGTGGGCCCAAGGAGCTGCCTCCTGGTGGTCTTGGCCTCTGACAGTGCTGAGCACTTCGGGTGGGCGGGAGGGAGATGTTCTGTGTCCTGTTCTCCTGCTGGAGCAGGATCTGGCCCGGGCATGGCTGGGTCCTTGTGGGTCAGCTTCCATCCTGGTGAGCTCTGGGCTTGCAGAACACTTTACCTCACGCTCTCTCCGGTGTTCTCAGAAGTGCTCTCTCTCTCACTGAGCAGTGTCCTGCTGCTGCTCCTCCTGGGGCCTGAGTTTTCCGAGCGATTGTTCCTGGGTTTGATCCTCTGTCGTGGCTCAGCCTTTCTTTGAGCTGAAAAGGGTCAGCAGAATTCCCCGGTTTCTGGAAAGGAAACTGGAGGAGTGGCCTTTCTGTTCTGCCCAAGCAGCTGAAGCCTTCTCTTCCTCCTAACCCTCAAGCTGTGACATGGGCTGCCAGCTCACGGGCTCCAGAACAGGAGCTGAGGGAGTTGTTAAAGCACTGCTATAGGCCTGACTCTAGTTCTGTGTCTGTGAGCTCAAAAGCAAGCAGTAGGACCTTAATTACCTTCTCTCTAATTGCCCGAGTGTTAACAGCCAGTTTGGGAGAAGCAGGAGGGTCCTTGCCACACCAGAAGGAGAAGACAGGTTTTAGAGAGGGCAGATCTTAAGGGCAAACCTTAGGATGGAAAGGTGGTAAGCTTGAAGTTGCCTGCTTCATCTCCTAGCTGCTGTTAAAATCCTTGTACTTGCAAAACTCTTATGAAATACGAGCTCTGTTATGTTTGGTGACAATGCCTGCAGAGATTCTCCAGCGTTTTTTTTGGGGGGATTGCTGTAACTAGAGCACACAGACATTTAGATCTTTATCAGTTTTGAGAAGCATGAACTGGGCTGATTTGTTAAGCAAAGAACCTGAACTTGAAAGCAGGCTTCTCTGCAAGGAGCTGTTCTCCTCCAGGCCTTTCAGGTTCCATTTTATTTGAGCATCCTTGAAGCAAGGAATCACTCAGCTTCTCGTGGCTCACCCAGTAATCTCTGCACCTTGCCTAGCAAGGGAAAAGGGGCGTGCATTTAGGTGTGCAAGAGTCGGAGACAAGTCTTCTAGGATAGTTTATCCCTGCCTCTCCTGACAGCCAGGGCACCCATCTGGTGCCATCCACTGCCCTGAGGCGAAGCTGAGCAGGGTGTGGATCTGTTGTGTTCCAGTTGCTGGGTTCAAATGAATTTGTCTTATTTGAATAAGAATAGGGAGGAGGAATAGTTCATCCTTCACAGCTTCCATTTAGTTGTTTTGGCTCTGGTTTTATGCGTTTATGTCGCTACAGAGCTGGTGGTTGGGGGCGTTCCTGACCCTGTTATGAGCAGTTTTCCTTGTTGGCCCATGCCTTCCTGAGAGGTTTGCCTTGGAAGGAGCCTTCAAACAAAGCGTGTGGGAACACAGGAGCATGGTAGGGCATAACCAGTCGGCAGCTCACTGGGAATGGCATACTCAGGCTGGTTCCCCTTGCCATCTCTGTCTGGTGCCTGCAAGCCAGCCAGGTGGGCATAATGAGGTCATGCCCACCAATTAAAGACAAAGTTGAGTTGGCTGTAGTTTTCCAGTGTGAGTGTTTGAGGAAATAGGCAAGATGGTGTTTGAGAGGGGTTTGAGACAAGCTGGTTTGTGCTTTGTTGTCCCCAGGAAGATGAAGTGTGTGTCCCTTGGCTGGGGAGCTGGGTCAGATGAGACCTTGGTGGAGCAGTTGTGTAGAGAGGGGTAGATAAGGCAATTCTAATAAAGCTTCTGCTTAATAAAGAGGAGACAACACCATTGATCATCTTTTGGGCCCTGGATTCAGCCTCGGGATAGTGTTTCCAAAGCCTGTTCTAATTACTGCCCCCTCCTCCCTTCATACCTTTGAGCCAGGCTGTTTCCCCTTCTGTGTGTGTGACTGAAACAACAGCTCTGACCCTTTGGAGTTTCCCAGGTGGCCGTGAGCAGAAAGCCAAATAAATTCCCTTCTCTTTTTGGTGCCTTTGTCTCAGGCTTTGAATAAAAGTCTATTTGAAGAAGCTTCTCTTTTTTTTTTTTTTTTTTTTTTTTTTTTTTTTTTTTTTTAGGGGTTTTTTGTTTGTTTTTTTTTTTTTCCCCTTTTAAAGAAACTTCTTTTTTTTTTTTTTTTTTTTTTTTTTTTTGTTTTGTTTTAAGGAGCTTCTGAGTTGTTTTCTCTTTTATCCCGAGGGTCAGGCATTCCCTGCCCTCATGATCAGCTGGGGACTGTCCCACTGTCCCTGGATGCCAGCTCTGGAGGTCATAGCTGAAGCAGAGAACTGCAAGGGAGTATCTTTGGTTCCAGCCCTTGAGGTCAATGGGGAAAAAAGCCTAGCAAGAGATAGAAGAACTGGAAGAGCTCCTTCAGGTCTGGTCTCCCCCAGAAATCTCCCGAAGGCAGGATGGAGAACTTCCAGACAGTCTGGAGCCTGCGTGTCTGCGCAGTTCAGAGCCGAGTGAGTCACAGCTGGGTCCTGGTAGTCATATGTGTGCAGAGTATGGCTTGGGGGTCCTGCCCCCCAAACTCGCCAAGGGCTTGCCCTGCACCATTTGGGTCTGAGCAGGATACAGAGACACGTGCTTGGTTCCTTTGGTCCTTCTTTCAGTTGAAATGGAATTGCAACAGCCAGGGAAATGTCTTGGTATGGGAAGCCTGGGCTGAACATGGCTGTCTTTGATGGAAAACAGCAGGAGGAGGGAGAGGACCAGCAGAGCAGCTTCAGCCCTTGATGTGAGACAGATTCTGAGCAGCTGTGAAGTACCAAGTGTTTCAGGCTCTGTTTGGTGCTCGAATGTGGCAGAGATCTGTCTGCTTCTTGCACTTATGTGGCAGGGAGGGAAAATACCCTTGCTGAGAATCCAAGAGGAATGGGAGCTGGGCCAGCATTGAGCTAATTTACCTACTGGCGCTTCTACATCTTCACTACAAATGCCAAAGTCTAATACAATTCAAGGATGCTTGTGTGTTTTTGTTTTGTTTTTTTTTTTTTTAAATGTCAGCCTGGTTCCACCAGTCTGTCTTCACTGGCTAGTCCCAAGTAGGCTCAGACAAGTATTCTCAACGGCACAAACACACCACCAGGCTGGAGCTGTGAAGGCTCAGAAACGTGATGGCAGGAATCGGCTGCCTGTGCTGCACCCCTGCTTCACACGCTGCCCGGTGGGGCTGGGGCGTTTCGCCTTGGATCCCAAGGGATTTGTCCCCGGAATACAGTAGCAACCACGTTGAAATGGTGCTGGGCTGGACGGGAGAGGTGAAAGCAGGTCCATGTCTTCCAGGACTCTGGCTTGCTCAGAGTTTATTGCTGTATATCAAATACTATTTTTGGAGATTTGGGGGGAAGATGTGGGAGGGGGAGGGATGTGGCGCCGCTGTCCCCAGGCTGAGCAGTGGGACGCTATTGCAGGTTATTGATAGGTTTTGATTTTTTTTGTTTCCCAAAAAGTGCTTTATTTAAAAAAAAAAAAAGCTAAAAAATAATCAATAAAACAGAAGTGCTTTCCTCCCTCCTAGGAACAGTGCTGGCTGATTAGAAAATGTGAATAATCTTTTGCAAACGTCAAAGGTCTCTGCTGAAGGGTTTGTGTGATGGAGCTTTCAAGGCAAGGGGGCAAAGTGCGGCTCCAACCAGTTTAACTGGGGAGAGTGTGAATTTCGGAAACGCGGGATCTCTGCCCTGGAGTTGTTCCCAGTCACGCGTAGTGGGGATGCTCTTCCTTGTGCTGCCACAGCTGTTGTGTCACACTAACCCTTCCTGAGCTCAGGTGTTGGAGCTGAGCAGTGTCTGGAAACTTGCTGCCAGGTGGGGGCTTGCATTTTTCATGGTTTCTACGGGGCTGTGGTGTGTTGAGGGCTTCCCTGCTGGAGAAGCAGCCAGGTTGGTGGAACAGCCCTGGAGAGCGTGAGAGCAGAGGCAGGATCTGCCAGTATCCAGGGCTGGGAGATGCTGGGCAGGGGACGGCGATGTTTGGGTCCCATCTTTGTGGCATCTCTTGGTGTTGGCAGATGGTCCCACCGCCCCGTAGCGCAGGCTGGGACGTGTGGAGGTGACCCGGGCTGTTGGCATCAAGGACTCTTCACAAAAACTACTTGAAGCTGCAGGTCTCGGTTGTCTGTAAAGGCTAGAGCAGTGTGGGGAGAGATCTCCAGCTGCGCTTGTCACCAGTACAAAAGGTTTTTAAGGAGGAATTTTTTTTTTTTTATTTTACTGTCCATTGCTTTGTGTTATAACAACTTGCAGTGACATTATTTTGGTTTTTTTTTCAGTTTGTTTTGCAGCAAGCTTGGGCCCTGGGTGAAAAGCACAGATGTCTATTTCTGATTGCATTGGCTTTGCAGGGACTAGTTTGGGGGGAGAAGATGGGTGTGGGGGTGGGTTTATTTTATTTTTGGTACCTGGTAGCGGTTTTATTTTTTAATTTTCCCCCAGGACGTTTGGTTGAGGGAATGTTCTGAAATCAACTGTCTGGCGGTTTTAACCAGCAGTGCGTTAAAGGAAAATAAACAAAATTATATTGTCACTTGGATGAGGTGGTCCCTCTTTTCTAAGGCTGGAGGGGGGGGAAATGGGGCAGCCCCCCGTGCTTTTTGGCTCCTGCTGGGGGAGGCTTTGTGCTTGGAGGCGACGCAGCCGCCGCTGAGATGCAATTTTACATCCCACCGAGACGCAGTTTAACATCCCACCGCAGCCCGGAGCCTCTCCCCGCCACCCCCATGGTTATTTTTGGCCATTTAAGCGCGAGTTGAACGGTACAACATCCTCTTCTGAAGTGCTGGTGGGGACCTTGTGGCTTCCTGCTGGGGCCGGGGACACCAGAGATGTAATGTACCTTCTCGGGGTTTTGCAAGACGCCCTGATTTTGGCTCGAAACTGCGTCAGAGGCGGTGAGAGGGGGCTGGGGCCAGCGGGGGGGAAAGTGGCACCTTCCTCCCTTGGGGGCCTGCTCTGAGGGGACGGGGAGCCCCAGCCTGGGCAGGGTGGCCGCTCCTGGGGACAGAAGGGTCTTTGGTGGGTCCTTCCTGGGGCCGAGGAGGGGGAGTGCTGGCGTGTTTGAGAGGGCGGTGGGGTTGGTGGCAGCAGCAGCGATGGTCGCTAACCGCAGCTCTGCGTCTCTCTTCCAGCCATCTTGAGTGCCTTGAGCGCTGGCTGGAGTCTGAAAGGAGGACACAGATGTTTCTTCTTCTTGCCCCGGCTCCCCAAAGGGGAGGTGACTCTTAGCACCTGAGTGCCCGTGGCAGGCTGGGGCACAGCCCCTTTTTTGGGGAAGAAACGTGTCCTTTCCTCAGTGTGGTGCTCCTGTGGGTCCCTCCTGGTGGGTTGTCCCTCCCTGGCTTCAGAGACTCATCCGATGCTTGCCACCCTCCCTCCGGTGGGTGCTCCCGGGGTGGGGTGACAGTGGCAGGGCTGACCCGCACCGGCAGTCCCTGGGGGACCCTCCTCAGGCACACGGTCCTGCCACTGTCCCTGCCCGGGCCAGGCTCCCGGCTCCTTGGGGACAGCAGCGGGGGGGGTGTCTTTTTTTGTTAGTTTTCTGTGTTTCTTTCCTCCAGGCAACTCCCAGTTTTCTTCTCCCCCCGCCCACCGCTGCCATCCGCCCGCTGGGTGTAGCCCCGGGTGGCGACGCGACGCCCGGGTCCCCCCTCCGGCCCACGGACCCGGCGGGCCCTGCTTAGCTTCGGCGGCCTGCCCCCCCCACGTTGCTAGGCAGCGCCCGCGCCCTCTGACCCGCCGTCGCCCCGCCCCTGGCTCCCATAGCTACCGAGGGAGGCGGCGGCCATCTTGGCGGCGGCGGCGGGGCGATGAGCGGCTCGAAGGCGAGGGGGGCGGCGGCGGCGGGACCGGAGAAGAAGCCGCCACCGGGAACCGGGGGGGCCCTCAGCCGCCTGCGGGGGAGGCGAGGCTCTGCCGACGCGGCTCCGCGGCCGCCGTGGACCGAATCCGAGCTGCTGGCGCTGGAGACCGTCCGGCCCGAGCACGTCCTGGGGCTGTGCCGGGTGACGGAGAGTGAGTGAGGGCCGGGGAGCGCGGCCGCCGCGCCCGGTGAGGGGGGCTCTCGGGCCGGCAGCCCTCGGACGGGGTCCGGCGGTCCCGGGCGGACACCCCAAGCCCGGCGGTGCTCCGTTGACCCCCCGACGGCGGCCGGGGCTGCGGGGCCGGGGTCCCGGGGCCGGGGTTGCGGTGAGGGCGGCGGGAGCGGCGGAGCCTGGGCCGGCGGGGTCCGCGCTGCCGCCGGTGCGCGGGCCTTGGAGGCGGCTGAGGAGCGTGTGCCTGCCCCCAGCTTTGTTACAACTTCCAGAAAGTTTGGGGTGTCTCAGGGTGTGTTTTCCTGTAGGTTTTTCGGTTTGGTTTGGGTTTTTTTTTTTGCCTCTGGGCTGCTGATCGCTGCTTTTCTGCCCAGATCCCTTCCCTTTCTCCCTCTGGTACCTGGCACCTGGCGTGCCTTTGTTCCTTCTGCCTGCAGTTTTGTCCCGCTCGCACCAAGCTTCTGCTAAAGAACTTGCAGTACCTATCGCACCGGGCTGGGGCTAGCAAGAAAAGGGAATTCCTCTGGTAATTGCTCAGAGATCTTTTGAAATACTACTATATATTTTCTTTCTCTTCTAGATTATTTATGCAAACCTGAGGACAATATTTACAACATTGACTTCACCAGGTTTAAGATCCGGGACCTTGAAACTGGAACAGTGCTGTTTGAAATTGCAAAGCCCTCTGCTTCAGGTGTGTTATGCTAACATTGCTGGAGGGCTAATGAGACTTGGGGAGCCGAAAAGTTGCCATGCAGGACCCATGCAAACCAAGCAGAAAGGCCCTTTGATATGTCCTGGTGACCGAATTCCTCTCCTTTAAGCATAGGACTGAGTTAAGCTCTGCTGAGAAACTTATTGTCATAAAATCGTGAAGTGATTATTGTGAGATGGGGAAGTACTATCAACTGCAGATCTTCCCTTGCTGGCTGGTTATCGTATAGAGTTCCTTTCACGTGCTTTGGCAATTGTGAGGGGGGATATCCTGTGAGGTGAAGGGTGGTTTCGGCTCCGGAGCCACCAAGGCTGCACCAACTGTCATAGCTGACCTTTTCTTTATCACTTAGTTCCAGTATGAGTCTCAAACCAGTTATTAAACAGCTTTATGTTTAGTACCTAAGTAATAGCAGGCTGGTCCTGATACACCCGCTAGCCAGTATGACCTTACGTGTACACTATTAGCAGAGTAACTCTGAGCTTGTGCGTTTTCTAGAGCAAGATGAGGAGGATGAAGATGACAACAGTGAACTGGACGCTAGTGCAGGCCGCTTTGTTCGTTACCAGTTCACCCCAGCATTTCTCCGTCTTCGGACTGTTGGTGCAACGTAAGTACGGTGTCATAGAAAGAAGGGGAAAATCAGATGTTTGCAAAATGTCACTTGACAGTTTATAACAACACTGAGTCAAAGACTCAGTAAGATCATCAGTAAGATGCAGAGACATCAGTAAGATGCAGAGACTGCATCTCACACTACAAATATCAAAGTCTCTCTCTCTGGAGTGGTGTGTTGGATTCTTGTGTAGCCTTGGGTCCAAGGCTCAGTTCTTCCCAATAGGAAGAGAGGTATGTCATCTTAGCTGTTTTTTCCTGCTTTTTGTGTACAGAGTGGAATTCACAGTGGGAGAAAAGCCAGTGTCAAACTTCCGAATGATTGAGAGACATTACTTCCGAGATCGCTTGCTGAAGAACTTTGACTTTGATTTTGGCTTCTGTATCCCCAGCAGCAGGAACACATGTGAACACATTTATGAATTCCCTCAGCTCTCAGAAGACCTTAGTAAGTGTCTCCTTTCCCATACTGAGTTGTGTTTTGTTTGTGTGTGTATGCACGTGCTCATTTTCTCCCTCTCTCTACTTGTGAAAGAAGTTGTGACGGGGATGGGGGGACAGGAATAGATAGATACAGGTTCCTGGTTTAAGCTGTATGTAATCTTTACTGAAGTACAGATTTGTGCTGCAAATTCTCCTTCTTTGAAAATGAAAGCCTAGGACGGCCTGTGTTGTTGAGTCACAGCCTGCATGAACCGCTCAGAGTCACAAGGCTGACATGCCTGATGCCTAACAAAACCCTGAAAAAGGGTTCTCTTGGTAGCCACGCGTCTGTTTTCAGCACTTGCTTGTTAGGGCTTGAGCCTCCTGCTTTGGAACAGAACTGGTTCTTCTCTGAGAGGTGTGTATTTGAGCCTACCAAGATCTCTGCAAATATACATTGCGCAGGGTATGTTTGACCTCAGGGGCTGGATAGAGGAGGAGCACGTGGGCCCTTCTGTGGCTGCCTGGGTTTGGGAGGAGGCGCAGGGTTCGCACCCCGCCTGTGTACGTGTGGGGAGTGTCACTGCTTTTCCATTTGTTACCTCTCTGCTTACAGACTGATTGCTGCTCTCACAGTTTCTGTCTCGTGTGAGATTACTCGATCCCCCTTTGTTTGCTTTTGACAGCACTTGTCCTGTGAATAGGGAGAATGGGAAGGGGCAGGCTGGAGGTTTTGAAGCGTGCTCAGCAGAGCAGTTTGCTTCTTTTACTTGGGTAGGGCAGAGCAGCAGCCTGGTAAATCCAGCAGAGTGGCAGAGTCCTTTTTACCCTGACTTTGTGCTGTCCAGTGGAGTGTGGCAGGCTTTTGAATGTAATTGAGCTTTCTCTTTCACAGTCCGTCTGATGGTTGAAAACCCGTACGAGACCCGCTCAGACAGCTTTTACTTTGTGGACAACAAGTTGATTATGCACAACAAGGCCGACTATGCTTACAACGGAGGACAGTAATCGTTCTGTGTCCGCTGGATGCTGTGATGCCGTTAATCGTTCCGGATGTCCAGGAGTGGACTGGAGTTGCTGTCTCGTGCAACAAGGCTTCTTGCCAAACCTTTTCTCCTTGCATGAGGCTGAAAACATGAAGCAAAGACAACAGCTCATGAAAGTGAAGGAAATCTCCCTGCAACACTTCTCTGTCCGACGCTCACCGTATCCTGCCTCTCATCCTCTATTTCTGGTTACCTTCTGGTACCTTGGTTAGGTCATGGGTGGGAGGCACTGTTAGACAATTCTTGCTGTTACAATCTTTGTAGTTAGGTTGCACTTTTAGTGCTTCTGATGTTTCACCTTTTGGGTGACTACCCTCTTTCAAGAGGTCAGATAGTTTGGGTAAGCTATTTCTTAGCAGGACCATTTTCCCCCTTCCAAGTAGCCTGTGATCCCTGAAGAACAGATCTTTTCTTTGGTGGATAGATCATCTCTTTAGTGCACAACGGTTTAGTTTGTAGCATGGCTGAGATTGCTTTTCAGGGTGCATCCCAATGTTCTACAGTGAGAAAGAAAAGAGACTAATTCAGCTTCTAAGCAGTGTAGGAACCTTCCTTCTGCCTGAGCTGCCCCTGAGAACAGTTTAATCTGCGTCTTTCTGGAGATTTCACTAGGGATACGAGATAGGGGGAGAGGAGGGGCTTTATCCAGGTTGGTCATCGGGTCATTCTGATGGTATTTCTATTTGAGTTCTTGCGAGCAAATCATTGAATTTTGGAGCTCGGGTCAACCTTAGAGCTGAAATTAATCTCACTGTATTTACCATTTCTTCTGCTTCCCTTTGTGTAGGATTTTTGGCTCTTGCTACAGAATGTATTGCTTTATAGATTGACAGCACCTTGTCAGTCTAAGCTGGGGTGGTGGGGAGGTGTCAGTCTAGTGGGGCTTAGAGGGAAAAGGGAGAATGTGGAAAATCACTTGAAAAATGTGTAGGAAGCAGAGCTTCCTAGGCTTCAATCTCTATACTTTTAAACCTGAATGATCTGTCAGAGGTGCTGGAAGGAGAAACGGTGGTGTTATCAGCTCATTTGCTTTGTTTTGGTTGAGGTTATTAGTAGCTAAAAGCTTCCTGGGTCAGATCACTCAGTGTTACGGAGTGGGATTGTTACAGAGAGAGAATTTACATGATTCTTTTTCTTATTGAGTTCCCATCACTGCTTTGCCTTCTTACCTGCTTATTTATGGTTTAGGAAGTTCTGCTGCATTAGGTACCACCGGAGCAGGGGGTGTATTTCACAGCCGTGTTTGGGATCTGGTGATAGCACAGATCTTCAGTGTTGTGCAGTGGGGAGACCCGTGTCTTCCCAGCAGCTGTGCTGGAGCCTAACTCCTCATCGTGCAAAATCTCAGCTAACAAAACCCTTTTCTGCTTATTTTGCGGGCTCTTAAGACTGGTGTTTTCCTGTCTCCAGCTGGGCTGGTCAGTCGTGTCTCTTTTACGTAGGAGTTAGGTTGCATCTAGACTAGAGATGGGTGCTAGTATTAGTTCCACTTGTTCCTTGAGACAGTTGAAACCTAACTCCTCGGTGGATACACTTGTTTACCTGCTGCGTTAAGTAAGATTCAGCGTGGTTTATGTTTTAGCAGGATTAAGTGCAGTGGGCATCACGGCCCGGAGCCTGTTAATGCGTAGACAGCAATAGGAAACCACTGCCTTCACCTCGCAGATTAATGATGTTAACTTTGGCACAGAAGATCAGCTGGCACCAGGGTAAGCAGTGAGAGTATGTGGGGTGGCAGCCATGAAAGAATCTCCAGCTCTTGGGAAGATATTTAATTATGATTAACCACAACAAATGACCTGTTCTGGGTGGAGCATTAATCATGAGCAACCACAACAAATGTCTTGGGAATGCAGAGGGGCAAGGTCTCCGTGGTTCAAAGATGAAGAACAGTTCTGCTACCATCGGTCCCCTCCATCATCTCCAAAGGCACTTGGGCAGCCTGGTTTAGTTATTTCAGAATTAAAGCTGCCTGTAAGGTGGAGCTTGAGATGCCTCCTGCAGCGATTCCCCTCAGAAGGCCTTGTGCCAAAGGGGCAAGGTCTCCGTGGTTCAAAGATGAAGAACAGTTCTGCTACCATCGGTCCCCTCCATCATCTCCAAAGGCACTTGGGCAGCCTGGTTTAGTTATTTCAGAATTAAAGCTGCCTGTAAGGTGGAGCTTGAGATGCCTCCTGCAGCAATTCCCTTCAGAAGGCCTTGTGCCAGTGAGGTGGGAAAGATTTGTTTTGATGGCAGAAGAGGAGGTTACTTGTGACAAGGCAGGATTCCCTGGAAGTGAGTTTTTAATCCTGAAGTGTTCAGAGATGCTCAGGTAGTGTCTGCAGAGCCTGCTAATTATTCCCTGGGAAATTTTAGCATATTGAGCTGAATTTGTATGTAGTATAAATCCAGGTGCCTTTAGATGTTACTTATATCTCATTTTCTATATGAAGCAACCTCTTGCTTTTCTTAACGGGCGTGATGATTCCCATCTGTTTTCTGTGTCACCGTGTAAAGGTTCTTAAAAAGAATATGGCCTGTTGCCAGAGCCAGCAGCAGAAATTGAGCTCCGCGCGGTCGGCCGGGGTGTCTGCCGGGCCGGGGGTGCCATCTAGCCGCTGCTCGGCAGAACGGGAATGTAAATGCTTGTAGGGAAGTGGATTCCTGCCCTTCCTCGTTACCTCTGCCAGCAGTGATGAGGGGGGAAAAAAAAAAAAAAGCATGGAAGCATTTGTTTTCCCGTTGGTGAATGTATTGGCTGTTCAGCAATAAGAAAAGGGAAACTGGAGGGAAATCGGAAGACTCGCAGGCAGCGCCAGCGCCCCTCAGTTTCTCCCTGAATTTGTTTGCCTTGCCAAATTTGAAGGTCTTTGCCCAAAAAAGCATGCTGCAGATAAAAAGTCCCTACAACCCAACAATCCAGCACTGAAAAAGCTGATAGCTGATTGTAATCCAAAAAGTCAGGGATTTCCAAACTTCTGTCCCCACTTTGGCCGCTTTCTTGACATTCCTTTTCTCTTAGATGCTTTCTACACGGTGTCTTCTCTTTGTGGCAGGCAGGATGTCTTTGGTAAACACGGTTTAACGGAGTGTCTTCTGGGTTGTGTGCTCTGATGCTTTAGTGATGGGTCAAAGCTACTCATGGCAGTGAGCTGGGAAGATACTCCAGTGGGATCTCATCCTTGTTGGGTGGATGGTCTGTCCTGGCCAGGTGCTGAACGCGAGGGAGATGCTTTCAGTGGGGGTTAAAGTTAGAGGAAGGGAAAAGGTATCCGTGCAGACAGCTTCTCCCAGGTCCTGCTGAGTTGGAAAGAGAAGAGAGTTGGGATCATACTGTGTTCTGCTCTAACAAAAAAAGGGACCAAACCCACAAACTTATGTTAAATCTTTCCAGTATTTGTCCTTTTAGGACCAGGACCTCTTTTTCACATTTTTGAGGTGATTGCTTTGGATCCATGCAAGCAGGCTTCCTGGACAGCTGTTTTCACGACTGACTGAGGAATACATATTGCACCTTGTGAAGGGAGGTCACCTCTTGTTACATGGACTGGGCACTACTCTCCCTGTCCTCTCTTTTTTGGTAGGAAGTGTCTTCCTTTGTGTGTTTTCCTTAGGATTGTCAATGTCTCTTGCTGTAGAGAAGCAGCAGCAGCCTCCTCTCTGGTGCTTGAGGATGTTTATTCCGCTTCTCCCAGGGTTCGGGAGGAACAAAACAAGTGTTTAGAAGGCAGAAATGAGCGAGGAAGGCGTGGATGGTGAAGCAGCGAGGTCCAAAGGTGGTAACTCTGCTTCTCAGCTCTTGAGTTTCACCATTTCTGGATTCCTCTTCAGCTGTTTCCCAGTGTTTGCCTTCCCCCCTGCTGTCCTGCCACACGCAGCTAAGGAGCCTTCTGCCGCCCCGGGTGTCACCCTGGGGCTGGGACACTGCCCTCCCCCTGCCTTCCAGGAGGAGGGGGCTCGGGGAGGGCGTCCCCCCGGAGCCATCACCACCTCCTCCGCTGCAAACGGGAAAACGAACACCAGCAAACGCCGCCCGGCTCCCGGTGCTGTCCCCGGACACGGATTTGTACCTCTCACGGCGTGGCCTTTGGGCTGCTGGCGCGGCCGCCCCCTCCCCGCTGTCCCCCCGGGAGCTGGGGGGGTGGGGGGATGTCCCCGGCAGCCCTGCTGGCCCTGCCCCTTCGCTCCCGGCCCCCTCCGCGGCTCCCGGGTGACGGTTTATTTGTATAAACGTGATTTTTGTCACCAGCAATAGGAATAAAGCAGCTCCCGTTTTCGCACAGGCGGCGCGTGCTCGGGGGGCGGGGCCGGAGGGGG